TTATTGTGCACTGAAGACTAAGCTGGTGTTAACGACAGGTTATGAAACAAAACGAGAGCTTGTGCAGTAACAAATTACTTCCTCTCCTCCCAATATTGACACTCTGCTTTGTCTTTGTAAATGTTCTAGATGCTGGTTGCCGCCCAATGTGAGTCTGAGGAGCCTTTCCTGCTTCAGTAGATTACAGCATGAGAACTGATCCGATACTCTGACCGAAAACAAACACAAAAAAAAACCCTGGACACAGACCACTGAGGAGTGGAAAGAAAACAGAAGGCTGTGGTGGCGTGGCCATGGATAGAAGGAAAGTTTGCATATTTATGGTGCTGTGGGCCATGGTCCACCTCAGCTCTCCAGGTCAAGGGCTCAGGGCCTTGAGAAGGACTACAGGGGGGCGGAGGGGGTCAGGACTGACAGGACAGGATGCCAACGGAGTGCCACTGAGACGCTCTAAGCGAGGTTGGATGTGGAACCAGTTCTTTTTGTTGGAGGAGTACACCGGGACCGATAAGCAGTACGTCGGAAAGGTAGTACAAGGCTCAACTTTCTTTCCTTTTTCTTTGTCAGATGCAGCAGAGCATCTGCACTACAGGCAGATGCAAACTGCAGCTGCTCTGTTATACCGAAACCTGCTGCTGATGAAACACAGCAGCTTCATGTCATGACTAAAGATGAGCCCACATCCGACCATCCACTCACGCACAAGCATTACACACAGGCGAAACAAAACAACATGTGATAAAGAAAACAACAACAAAACAGCGATTGGGTTTTTGTTCTGCTTCGTCTAGGCACCAGTTTTAAGTGCATGCACAGACACCTCAATAAGCCCCGCAGATGAGTTTTCAGAGCTTTTTCAGTGAGTGCACATAAATCAGACACATCAATGGAAATAAAACAAAATGGCCATAATATAATATGCTAATTAAGGCAGGAAATTGAACCTTAAAACTTTTTTGTGGACACTAAAGCGTATCCATTGCATACAGAAAGCATGTCAGGTATAAAAAAGCACTAAGTGACAAAAGTAGGTACTGAATGCCTCCTCAGATTTACTATCTCGACTTATAGATAGTTGCTAATTTAAATTCAGATAGTGCTGGTGTTCATCTATTAAAGTAAATCCCCGTAGAAAAGCCGTCGGTACTTAATATTTATGAAGATAGGATGCTTTAAGTAAAAATCGGAAGGAAAGATTTACAAGAAAAATACCAGAGTGCACTACTCTCGGGGTGCTTTTACTTGGATAAAATAAATGGCAGAGGTCAGGCTAGTGAGAGCTGGACCTGATTCTCTCACATTTGAAAGATTTAACATGGGAAAAGTCTATTGATGCAAAATATAGTATGTTTATCGTGAAACCTGTGTAAAAACGGTCAGAATTTTCATTTTATGTAGTATAATCATTTTTATTACTAACAACGAGCAAGTCGTGTTTTCGTAGTTTTATACACATGCACATATAGCTCTCAATTTGGGCCCAAGTGTCATTTGGTGTGGCTTAAACTGCACCCATATTTTTTTTTTTCAATTTCCATCTTCAATTTGTTCACGGGGAATGAAAGGAAGTAGTTGGTGAGAGCAGCCGTAACAGCATTATAGTTTGGAAAAGAAAATAGCAGCACATACAGAATCTCCAACGTCATTACGAAAACTGTCTGGATTGTAAATTGATAAGTGATCACCAGAAAGTGCCAACAGCAATGACTGCTGTAGTAATGAAGATGTTTGCAGCAAAGTAGATTCTGGAGATTGGTTGTATATGTCTGCTATCAGGGCGTCTTTGAGAATTCAGATTTGTAAACAGGGTGTCTGCAGGTAAACGAGTTACATTTAAGACCTTTCAGGACCTTTTGCATACTACTTCAAGTCAAATTTAAGATCAAACTTTCACAGCAGAAGTTAAAGTTTACTCTTTTCAGTTGGCGTCAGTTTAAAATGAACAGTAAGGTTAAATAGAATGGAATAGAATAGAATAGAATAGAAATAGAGTATTGATGAATGTTCTCCAAATCTTGAACTGAAACCATGGGCTTGTGTGTGATCTGAATGTGTAAAGCAGTGAAATTGTCACAGTGACTGGTCTTGAACTTGTGGCTCCAGACCAACATTTGGCTCTTTTTTACCCATCTCTAGTGGTTAAGTGTGACTTTGACAAACAACTAGATGAATATATAGATATATAATATATATATATAATTATTTAAATGAATAATGCCAAGGCTGGCAGTCTCCTTGATCTGCAGCTGGATTTTGTCAAAATTAAACTGAAACTTTTTGTGTTTTTAAAGTAGTTTTTCTTTTGATTTAGTTGCACAAACACAGGTACTGTAGGACTGCTGTTTTATGTAGGCCTACATATGGTAGTGGATACTTTGGGCTGGCTTGTTACTTTGGTTCTAGTCTGTACTTTTGCTCATTTGTGGCAATTTTTGCTCAAATTGTTTTTTTCCAAGAAACACTCCAACACTGTTGGCCTTGGACCCAAACAAACTAAATTTTAAATAGTTTTCTACTTTTAATTGTACATTTGTATTCAAGACATTTTAACACAGTGAGGTCTAAGTTATCGTTCCAAACTCCAAAACTGACCCTAAACCTGACGCTAAGATATCAGAATAGGCCATTTTTGGTTTTAGTTCATGGGTTTCATGCTGTGAGAAGACGTCGCCTCTTTGTCTGTCCACAATTTGCAAAAATTGTTATTCTGCAATTTGATCCAAATTGCACAGAATGCTCACCTACTGGATCTTTACTCATATTATGCAAGGTCACACTTGCATCAAGGTCAAGGGCACACTTGTCACTTTACGTGCAATAACCTGAGACTTATGACGACTCACTCTAAATGACGCACATGAGAAATATTTTATAATTTCTTTTGGAAAACGTTCTTTTGCCTTTTTCCAAAATATAGAAAATATATTAATCCCCTGAAATCGTTATTGGGAACTACCCTAACCCCAATCCTATGTTTTTTTAAGAAAAGCTGAAAAGACTTGAAAAACATAATCCCTAAAAGGTTATTTTATATTCATTTTTTATACATTGTTTCAACAAGCCCTTCCATAATGGTGTTTGCTATAAGTAAAATAATGGGACTGCGGCTTTCCCCACGCCTGAAACTGGCCAGATGGCAAAATCAAACGTATCACCCACCAGTGCAAAAGAAGAGAAAGTAATGAACTGCTTCTTGCAAATTAGAACTTGCAGTCCCTAGATTCTCTGTTTAGTGTCTTTTTTCTTAATGCTTTTTAGTTGTTTACCTTTTTGTTTTTCAGTTTGCATGAAGACGCCATCTACGCAACACAACATGAACTTTCAGTACTGAGCCAGTGCTATTTATGTCCATCTAAAAATGCCTCATTATGTGCTGTCTTGTCAATACATATATTGACAGCGATCTGTTATTTATCTGTCCAAATTAATGCACATTTCACCAAATATTGCTTCGTTTACATGCTACAGTCACAACATAGAAAATTTTGAATTTGTGATACAGCAGTTTTGATATTCATTTCCTATAATAGCACTGATAGGCAGAACCTAACTACCTGTGGTGCCTAGTCTCGGTAACATAATATATGCACTATATAACTGTTCTCTGCAAACTACACTCAGTGGCAACGATCGCCGCTTAATGACATCCTTCACAACAAATAAAGTCCTGTATACGAATGTATCATTCTGTCCCCGCGAATGCGAGAGTCAACCCGTCATCTATTAGTCGACGTGACGTGATACTCCGATCGGGTAATGCTCACATATCGGACTTCCATCCATCCATCCCCGGGCTTTGTTTGCTGTCGGCTGTCCAATATATTTTGTGCTTACTGTCAGCTCTGTGGCTGCTTGCACAATGTCCATTCCACTCACATCAAACCATCCTAAAGCGGCTGTCTTGCCCTACAGTGAAATATGACTTCCGCCGAAGGTATTATTTGTTCAACAAAATGAAAACACAGTGTCGACCCAGATAACATTGGGAGGGGGCGTACAAGAAGATGGGCCAAATAATGCTTGCTTTACATGCAGCGAAGCGGAAGTCAAGATATCAGTCTCCTCTTCCAACCTACTGTAATTGAGGAGATTGTGAAGCGTTGTGGCAAGGTCAGGATGTCTGAGTCGGAAGAAAGGCTGTTTTGTGCGAGGGGCTGAATGGGGCTAGTGCTTTGCATTCCTATCGTGCGTCCGCGGAGGATGGAGTCATCCAACCAAATGAGATTCTGCAACATACGTCCTCCCCGAGTGAGGGTTGACTTTCAGTTCTTGCCTAAAAGGATTACAACATTTGCGGGCGAGCAAATACAAGAAAGAAAAAAAAAAAAAAAGTTGAAAAGAAAACCCCAGAATGAACGAAGATCAAAAGTAAATACAGAGCTTGATCAAACCACTTTGTCTTTGGAGAGTGGTGATTGATGTCCCACTTGTCCTTTTAGCTTGTAAAGGGACTAATAGCATAAGAAGAATGGATTATCTGAGTGAGGTATATACTTAGAGAGTAGGAGGCCGCGACCTAAGAGCCCATATCCCGAAGACACCATTAAAGCATCAACCTTCGAGCAGCGCACTTAATCATGACTGTGAGCACTTGTTGTTTCCCCTCCTAAGTACGTGCAGCTGGGTGCTTTTCCTCATTGTCAGCTCACTAGCCAGTTGTCACATAGGATTGCAGTATGTAGATCTTATCTGATTGCAATTACTGTTTGGTAATTGCCAGATAAAGTACAAGTGATGAATGAAGCCCTAAAGGGAATGAATAGCTTTTGAGTTGAACACATGGCCCAACATAGAGCGCAAGCATCTGCATCTGTATCCTCAGGTGGAGGCCGTATTTTTTGCCTTGTAGAGGCTCCGAATGGGTGAAAAACTACAAGAAACACAAAAGAGAAGGCTTTTGTCACTGCGAATGACATCGTGGCAGCCGGCGAGCACAGCGTGAAACAAAACCGCTTTTGTTTGTGATGGGGAAAAAAAACCCAACTGGAAATAACACAATGACAGGTTATTATAAACAAGGGAGCGGCGCTTGACACACAGTAAAAGATAGAATGATGAAACTGCACTTGAATTACAACATCGCGTCTGCAGTTATTTGGTAAACTCAATCTCCCTCGGCTTAGTTTTTTTTAATTTATTTATTTTTGCTCTTTACAACAGCTTTATCGAGCTGCGAAGTACTAACAAATGAAATTGCAATTTTTCCAGAGCGAGCGTAACAAAAGCAGCTGGAACAGGAAGAAATTAAGAGAAGCGATCAAGATGTGATGGAAAAGACTCTGGCAGTGGCTTGTTGGGGAGCTGGTTGGCTGCTAATCTCGCTGTATTGGCCAATGATTTTCTTTTTCCTGCAGAAAGGGAAGCCTTGCACTGCCTCTCATTAGTAGGGGAGCTGCATACAGGCCTCAGAGGGCCTGGGCTGTCACTGGGGGAAGAGAATGTTTGTTTATTTCATTATTTCTTACTTTACCAAAGGGCACATATCCACTGAAAATGGTTAATGGCCTGTGGTTGAGGAGTGTTTGTG